CGCTTTCTGCACAGCCCTTGGGTTGATTTATAGTGTCGTCGCTGAAATGTGAAATTGAGCGCAGAACAGACTGCTGATCGATGGCTCTTGCTATTTCCTTGACTTCCACTATCCCCCGCCCAAAATTATTTTTTCAAAGTCAAAGTCAGACACATGCATTCAATTAACCCGGGACTCTGGCAGACCGTTTGACATTTTCATTAGGCAAACAAAGGCAAAGAAACGCGGCTGCGACGTTTACATTTCATGGCCGGATATCCGGCCGCAAAAGGAAAAACCCAAAAGAAATGTCTGCTTCCGTTTGAAGTCCAAGTCCGCAAAGCCACACCACTGTTCACATTTAGCCGCAAAACGACTTTAATTTGCGGTGCCACTGGCGTTGTTTCTCCCCTTGCCTCCCTCCTATCGCATACATATTCTATATGGTCTGATTTCATTACACAATCTGCGCTTAAATGCTAACTTTTTCGGTTTCCCGGGTTCCGTTTGGGAAAACTTCGCCACTGTTCTTTGTGGCTTTGCCTTTAAATTGTTTTGTTGCCCAGCCGGGCTGCAGATCTCTCCGGTTGGTTTCCTTGGTCCTTGGCTGCGGATTTTCACTGGCTGCCTGACAGTCCTGGGCCCCATGTGTTGCATGTGCTCCTCGCATCGATTCGTGCGTTTTACGCGAATTGAATTTAAAATCAAATCAATTTTATTCGAAGTGCTTCTCAAGTTGTGGGACAAACAGAATGAGCCAAGCGTATTTTTAGTAATTTTTTGCAGGCATTACTTAGCTGTGCGGAAAATGCAGTTGGAAAATAGTGATGCTTCTTAGCGTTTTGAGTAATTCGATTTGGCATTTATACCTTTTATAAAACTAAGAAATTATCATTCCTGATGCATTGAATTGATTGCATTATTTTGGTCTTCCATCCTAATCGTATATCCATATTTACCTTATTGACCTTTCAAACTGCGGTCTCTTTGAAGTGTCCACTACGAAGTGGAGCCCCGGGCATTACTTGGCCTAATGAACTGTCTGCGGACCTTGGCTTAATGCTGATTTGTGTACCAAGAGCGTAAGGCAAACCCGTTGCACATTCGCCCCGTGGCCCTGGCCATGTGCCAGTTTCGGGACAGCTCAGCCGATTCGCCGCATAGGCCGTGGAGCACCTTGAGCCCAGTCGCCTCAGGATTCCGGACACCAAACACCCGGACAGCAGCCGGAAACAAAGACACATACACATCAGGCTGGACTTGCACTAGCTGAAGTGTGAGAAGGGCAAGGGCTCGAAAGCTGTGCCTTTCAGTGTCGTTTAGTGAAATTGCCTGTAATGTCTCCTCTCGGTGCCCTGCATTGTGCCGCTGCTGCTGCTGCTGCATTGTCTAACCACAGTGTAGCATTAGCTTCCACCTCGTTCTTTACGACCTGGTCGTGTGTCAGCTCCAGCTGCGGCTTCTCCTGCATTTTTCATTAGCCTGCGCACTTTTTCTTTCCCAGCCACGTTCCTTGGCTCGCGGCCCACCTGTCCGAACTTGGTGTCCCCTTGCCCGCCTCCAGTTGATTTTGCAAGTGCATTTTCCACTCGGCTCAAGTCGCTGCCTTCCTAGCAGCTGCATAATAAAATTGTACACGCGCCAAATCGCCGGGGCTGTCGGCATCTGCCTCCTTACGAGTCCTGTCACAGATTTGTTTTCAATTGTCGAAAGCGAACAGATAATCCTGACCGTGCAGCAAACATATTCGGAACTTCGCATCAATTTAATCGCTTAAATTAGTACTTTTGTTATTGAAGTCTGAGCAAAATCCGGGTTTGGTCCCTCAAGCCGGATACCTAAAAAACCCATATGGGCAGCACAAATTAACCAATTGGACAGCATTAACGATAAATATGTTTTAATTGATTCAACGCATTATCGACATACCCAACACAGCTTTACAGCCAGTCAGGGTCGGAAAAGCAAACCAAGTTGTGCACTTGAACAAACAATCAATGAGCACGAATAAATTGCTGTCATTAATGGGCTACACTTCCTGTTCGCCAGGCAGAAATTGTTGACGAGTACATGTTAATTTTCGACGCCGCCAGGCAATTGCGGCAAAACAATTTATTGTTATACAATGGAAACAAAAATCGATGGCGATAATAACAATGGAAAGCCCACTCCTCACTAATCTCCGTATAAATGTGGCCACTCTGCGGATAACGCTTGTGAGACTTTCAGTCACTAATTATCATAAATTATAGGGGCATTATTGCGACGGCGACATGTTTAATTAGGGATCTCGTTGTGAGCCAGAAGTATTACCAAAAAGCCAGAGAAGTGGCACACTTCATAGGAATTCCAGTTCCACTGTCTAACTTTTTGTTCTTTAATACAAAATTTACGGAATTTTCGTGGACTAAGATAATAAAGTATACTTAATTATCGACGTTTCTATGCATTTAAAAGTGCTATTTTCAGCCAATTTTTGGGCATCTTTCGATTTTCCATTAAGCCCTATACACCCTAAACACCCAGCTTTGCCCACATTCCTTGGGTAGCTTCCGTGTGCGGTGTTCATTAGCGTTTTGTCGCCTTCATAAGCCAGGTCCGATTGAAAGAACTTTCGACGCTTTGTTGTAGCTTTTACAACATTTCTATTTAACCTTTATTTCTGGCATTGTTTGTGCCCTCGCATTGCGTGAGTTTCAACACACGGAAAGCCGAAGCCTCTTGGTGCCTGACGCCCATATAAATAGCAAATCCATCGAAGGAACAGAGATATTGGCCAAGCTGATGATTACAAATTGGCTGTGCGAAATATCGAACATTGGCAAAGGTGAAAGTTTAATGAATACATAGCGTGTGCGTAAGGGCAGCGTTTTTTATCAAATTAAATATTTGCTGAAAACATACAAAAGGCCACGTGTCCCAACAGGCGTATGCGCAATATGAATAATTCAACGAAATCCTATGAATATTAGATGGGCGTCCGTAAAACGATTGCTTCGGGTATAAAACAAAGCAGCTGACTGAAAATAAACTATAAAAGAACCCATTTAAATCAGGGCGCAATGAATTAGATAAACATATTTTTTCTTAATTTATATGTTAATCCGATCAATTTCAATAGAAAAGGCAACTAAGGATTAGGAAGCAACAGCATATATGAATATATATTTCACTCACTGGCTTCCACACGTAACTTTCAATCGGCAAGCTAGTCAAATATTTTGAAAACTTGCCACCTCGGCACCTTGCACCTTCAACGAAACTCCTCTTTTCGTGCATCGCCATGCGTACGTGCGTTGCTTTGCTCCTGGGTGGCCTTCGGTTGAGTCTGCTCGGTGTTCGTCAATCAGCGTCGCAAATTGTTGATTACACCTACATTAAGTCAAGGGCAGGACAGCAGTTACAGTTCCAGTTCCAGTTCCAGCCGTAGTTATGTGGAGCAGCCGATCGATACTTTCTCTCCACTTTCGTTCCGACAGCTTTTGGTTATTTTTTCCTCTGGCGCTCGCTTTGTGTGACTGCGATTTTGCACACGAAAAGCAAACGAAACCAGAAAACGTGGCACTACATACAAAGTCCATCATGTTCACTTATATACTCAAACACCAACTATATAGTCAGCCATACATACACACACACATACATCTATATCTGTTGGGGCTTCCTTGCTCCTTCGAATATATAGGCCAGCCCGTTTGTGTGTCGTTTTATTTGCCTTATTACTGGCACGCAGCATATTTAGTGGCTGGCTTAGTGACATTGCCTTGTTTATAAGGCTCCACGGAGCAGGCAGGATGGCTCCAGGCCGGGGCTATAGTCGCTCATTAGCCCGTCTACGTGCTGGCCAGTGCACGTGTATCCAAAAGCGGGTGGCCAGCGGGTGGCCAGGTGCATGTAGATGATGGCATCTATGACTCGCTGTCTGCGCAATTTAAGCTGACATTGACTGGTGTTTGTTTAATTTGCGACAAGCTGTGGGGACACAGCCTTAATATGGCACTTAAATATTACGTATACGTATTTCGTTCACTCCCAATAGGTCATATTTATATAAATAGAGAGTAACCGTAAATATAGATCTGAATTTCCATGCCTAAAAGGGGAAAACGATCTTGTATCTAATATTTCAAATTGCAGGATCGATGTAGTCGGTCGGAAATTGTTGGGTTAATTGGGTTAACTACAAATTTAATCCCACCTTATTTTACATATTTAGGTTTTTATGGGGTTTTCTCATGATTTATTTTTCTTGCATGGGCGCGCTACCAAAATAATACTGTCTTAGCTGCTTGTGGAGCTGCGATGAGGCATGCTGATTAATTTGTATGGAAAATGTTTGACTTGTGTCTTGAAGTGTGCTCCTTCATCTGCCATCTAAGTGTTTAACTCCTTTCAATGTTCTCGTTTTCAGTTGATGTTCCATAATTTCCGTACCTAAGTCTTCCTTCCTCTCTATATATCTATGTGCTCCTTTTATTGCTGTTTAACTGTTTTTAGTTACCATTTCCTAATTGTTAACTACTTTACTCCTCTAACTAGCCAACAAAAAAAAAAACCAAAAACAAGAAAACAAAAAGTATATGAAATTGGCAACCAACTATGTTTCCCATTGATGTTGTAATTGATGACAAGATATACTCTTGGAACCAAGTGTTCAGTATTCTGTTTGACAACAAATTTGATTGCTTTTGCATTAGACGTTCCTCTTGTGATGAGTTGTATTGTATGCTTTTGGAAATATGTATTTCTATATTCTAACGATATGTGTACTCCCCTTAACCACAAACGAGAGACGATCTCACACAGCCCAAAACTAATCACTGAACTGTATATATTTTCTATGCATCTGCCCCACAACCACCACCGCCAAAAAACAATTCAAAACCCAATCGCCACCGCAACCGCAACCGCAACCACTGTGTGTGTTGTTGTCGTCGTCGTGCTATCCGTGCTATCGTTGTCACTCGGTCCTGGTCATGGTCACGATCTCACCTCTGTGGCCGCCCGATCTCCTCGAAAAGTGCGCCCAAGGACGTGCCGCCTGGTTGGAGCGGGGTCGACGCTGCAGCGTCCAGGATCAGCAACAGCAGCAGGCCACCTGCCACCGACGCTGGGTGAAGCGCAACCGAGTAAGTGCCACCACGAAGGACCGCCTACCGCCGTGTACATACTACCCGTAATCGTAATACCGCCTCTAATTGTAACCCCATATTTCTATCACCCACTCTCCCAGCCGTCACATTTCTTTCATGCACCAATTTCTCAATGTTCAGCGCATTCTCTGTTAGGTGAAGCAGGCTACCAAACCGAATAGTCATCATTTTTATTGCCTAGATCAAACTGTTTACTTTGATGTTCATTGGAAGCCGATTGATGTTAGCGTCATTCTTTTTCTAGGGCCCCTTAAAAACTCATGACCCCAGGAAGACTGGCTAAAAAATGTTTTTGTTTACTAACCCTTTCATTTCATAATTACTACTGATGAGTGACTGGAAAATGTATAAGTACTTAATATATAGATTAAAGGAGATTTAAAGAATGTTAAACAGGAAACATGAAGTAATACAATTCACTACCTTTAATAATTTTTAAAAAATAATTGGATTCCAATGAATCCATGAACGAAAACATTTAGGTTTGTCTTCCTTGAGTTGTGTTACGATAAAAATACCCCTTTGCCATTTATTAATCCATGTACTGACAACGCCCATTTCCATTGGCAGATCCAAGACGCCTCCTTGGGCGGCTCATCGGACGATGAGGATTTCCTGGGCGTTCTGCGGGGTCCCAGCACCTTTGCGAATGCCTTTCTCTACGTGGGTCTGGGCACGGTGGCGCTGGGACTCGTCATCGCGTTCGTTGGCACCGGCGAGAAGGGCTTCAAAACCACGGAACTAAGACTTATAGGCCCCTCTCTCATAGGCAATAAATAGTTAATCGCCAGTGTCAGTAGAGCATGTACTAAAAGCGTTCACTTCTCTGCAGGATTGGGCCTGATTTGTTGCATTTTACGCATCCTCTTCTGCATCTGTCCATCGCACTGCATCTCATCTAGCAAAAAGACGCGGAAGAAAAACGGCAACAAGATTGATGCGGATCACACGACATCGTTGCTCAGAAACGAGAGCAAAAGAGTTTCGATAGCAAGAGGACCTAGTTTTCAGGTGGTAATTGCTACATTTTTTAACAAATTATTATGGTAACTATTTCCGTCTTGCAGCCCAAATACCCCATAGCGCACAAACGCAGCCAGAGCAAAATGCTCAACGAGGGAATGGAGGCACTGCGACAAATAGCCACCACATCCTTGTTCATGCAGAATGAGCAGAAGACGGCCACCAATCGCGTGGTGCCGATCATCAATGAGCCGGAAAGCGGTGGTATATACAGCAAAGTACAGGGTAGTCCAAGCTCTAACGATTTGCCATTCCTCCTAGATGCTCCACTGGAGATGAAGAAGCTGCAGACGGCACTGAATGCCTGCGAGATGAGTGACGATGAGCAGGACCAGGACCAGGATCAGCAGAAGCAGAAGCAGCAGCAGATTGCCAAACGTACAACAGCCACAACTGCCGTTACGAGTAGTACCACCAAAGACCCAACATCAACAGCAGCCACATCGAGGATAACGAGAGCCACCACCCTGAGCACGGTGGATGAGAAGCCGGACAGCAAGCTGGTGCGCCAGCGGGTGGCACTGCAGCAGCAACGCCAGCAGCAGCAGCAACAGCAGCAGGATCAGCAACAGATGCCGAAGTCGCAGTCCTTGTCCTCCTCCTCCACGGTCAAGGATTCGCTGGAGGTGGTGGCGGAGACATCCCTGATAGATGCCAGCAACGAGACCACAACACCTGTTGCAGCGACAGCCGCTCCTACAACTGCTCCAATGCCCAGCAGCTGCAGTACGGGTGCGATACCTCGACTGAATCGGCCGGGCATCTCGACTGGAGCCACGCCCAAAACGACGACCACGACGACTACGCCCACCATCACGGCACGGCTGCCCACGTCGCAGTCGCATCCGACGAGCTATGACCTGCCACCGGCCCTGCCGCACACCTATTCCGCATCGGCGACGGTACGCGGACCCCTGGGCATGTCCATGAGCAGCTCCGCTTCCGGCAAGGGAACGGGCACTGCCTTCACAATGCCGCCCACCACGACAGCAATTAGCTTGCTGCCGCTGCCGGCGCCTTCGACGGTGGCCACCGCCTCATCCACCAGCACAACGATAGCCAGTATTCCCGGCCAGGTGCTGGAAACAAGCGGAGTTACGAGTCTGAGTCTGAGCCTAATGCGACCGGCCACCGCATCCGGTGTGGTACTGAGCGGCTTGACCACCTCATCATTCACCACCGGCACGGATCATCAAAAATCACATCCGTCATCCGCCGGTTCGGTAATGGGGCGTGGCAGTAGCCTACTCCTCTCGCCGCCCACAGCGGCAGCGGCGTCGTCGTCCGCGTCCGCGTCGTCGAGCAAATTCGAGCCAGAATTGGTGCTCAGTCCGGCTAACCTTGGCCAGTAGAATTAAATGGGATTTAGTTACGATTTTAGTTAGCCATCAGGTCTATATATGTATATGTCTAGGTTCTAGACGCAGTGTGCATGTGTGCAACAGGATGAGTGTCTGTGTGTGTGGTGAGCCTTGTGTGAGTGTGAATGGTTAAGATCGACTAGAGTTTAGTTACCTCTGTACCCTAAAACTATCTTTTGAATGTGCCACAGGAACCACTTAGAGAAACGAATACGCCCCTTAACTGCATCTCTACCAAAAAGTCATGTTCTGAAACAGAAATCAAGCAAATTAAATTAAAAAAAAAAACAAGCTAAAATTAGGTACATCAATTGGCTAAAGTTTAATCAGTAACAGACTCCGTATTTACCATCGCAATGTCGCTATTATTTCCCTTTAACCGCAAATAGCTTTCAATGTCCAATCCAGTATATTTCCCGAGGCATAGCTCCTCTATTCTTCGCGAGCCACTTGATTTCCCTGCTCATCTTTCGGATGTATCATCCAATCTATAGCTATCGAATATTTTCTTAACATTCTAGATCTGTGTGTCAGGCTTTAGGTGGCATAAGAATCGCCCGTGCTCAGCAAAACGTTGCCAACCTGCGCTGTTCTAAGCTATCCCAAATTAATAAGAAAAACTAAAAACATAGCCAGGGTATTATAAAGTTTGTATACCAAACATATCGTTAACTAAATACACAAAGCAAAACTAAAAACCAATTATAATATGAAACAAAGAAAAGTAAACTTGGAGCGGCGTCCTAATTAATAAAACTAATATAAACAAACTAAAAACCCAATTAGATATGTACGAAAAAAGTTTGGGGAAAAACTAAATGGCAGTAGTATCTGGTAAATGTGCGGGTGTTTTCAAAAATACAAAGCAAACCCAAACAGTTTAAAAAGTATTATGCAATCGCTGAGAGAACTCTCCAAAATTCGATTTCAACGCAAAACTCAAACTATTCTCGATATTCTTAAAGTCTTTCCGTTTCCAAAGCACTTTTTGAAGATATTGCTAAATTCTAAAGAATATAGTTGCTTGCTCTTTCAACCCCAAGAAACGTGAGCCGAGTAATAATAAAAACTAACATAAACCGAATCCAATAGAATCGAATGTGGCCGTTAAATTATAAAGAAGCGAAAATAATTAAAGGTAACAACCCTTAAACAAAATGTGTAAGATGCATGTACAGCAAACCAAGCAGCAGCAAGTCATAGAAAATAATAAAAAAACTTTATGAATTAGTATGTATGTATACTATATGTGCAGAAATAAAAATGAAATATATAAGAAAATTGTGTATAATGTTGTTTATGGCATTGGGAAAAACGAAATCAAAATGGACTTAAATTGGGGATAGGCAGAAAAGGTATGCATACAAATTTAAAGGTTGTTGTAAAATCTTTTGCAAAAAAAATTTAAAGTTAGTAATTGCCTAAATAAACCTTTGTTTCGAAATCATTTGGTATATATTATTTATATGTATATTTTCATACTTAAAAAGTTGGCGGCTAATGTTTCAAACGGTGTAGAAAAATCAATTTACATGGTTCATACTAGTTTTTTATACATTTGACATCGGGTTCCCACAATCAGAGCTAGATGTCGCTTCATTGGATTTCTCATTTTATGAAAGATGTCAAGATTTTGCTATTTTTTCACATTGATGTTTGTCTTGCCAATTTTCTAACTGCCTCCAGTTACAATTGTACTAAATTTAACCACCACTAGGTAGCGCTAGTGAGCAATATCGGAAAGAGTATTCTTTCCTCGCAATCCGATTAACAGGTATGTAATAGTCGATAGTACCCACACCACGAAAGTAAGATGCGAGAAACAGTTTGAAAAGATATTTTAGTTTATTTCACTTGTATGGGCTTAAACATGTTTTCCAAAGGGAGTTTTGTGTGTTTGTTAGCAATTTCATTTTATCTAGGTAAATATAAGTACAACGTGAAATATAAATTTGTATGCTAGACTTGATTGGGTCTCCTCAGCTTGAGTTAATTTGTTGAAGTGAGCTGCCTTTACTGAGGTCGTTAAGCTGCTGTTAAGCAGTGACTTCGATTTGCTCTCATACGTTATTTTCCATGGTCAGCGCTTAGAAAAAGATCTACTATAACAATTATTTCGTATCAGTTTTCCTTAGATTTGTTATTTCAAGTGTGTATTCGTGTACCCATTACCAAACAATTCATTAGAATTCAATTCGTTTCAATTTAGTTCTCATCTTATCAATTCAGTCATGCCAAGCTCCATAGCAGGGCTCTTCTAAAATATCGATCAGCGTTCAGTTCCAAAAAACATCATCTTTTTTCGTGAATACCTTAGGTTGGGTCTTTGTTTCATTGTTCGGGATCTAAAAGTGCTACAAGGTTATATTTTTCAAATTTATGAATATATTTTTTAAATAGTTGTTTATCTATATTTGCTGCTGTGTGGGCTCTACTGCTTGACATTGAGTTTCTAATTGATTAATCGTGTGTGAATTTCTAGGGATTAACATAGACACCAAAAACATGATTACTTAGTTCACTTCATCCGTTTCCCTCCTCCGCTGCTATTAACCATTAATTTCTTATTGAAATTTATATTGCTTCACTATAAGCTGCAATAAAGTATATCAAAGGCCTGTTCGGGCGGCATTCTGGGGGCTTGAGTTCCCTCCCCTTTCAGTGCAATCTTTCGTTTGTTCATCCATTTCACAAAAATTCCTGATAATGCTTGGTTTCCATGACATACACAAGTACGTGTATGCATCCGTTTTAGTAGTGACTATATTTTACTCTGTTTAAAATAAATATTACGTGAGACGCTTGTTATGTTACTGCCCCTTGATTAAAACATCTGAATTTCTAAAATGTAAGTTTCGCATATCTGATAGATATTTTGTGTGTGCTGCCCCAAAAAAAATTTAAAACTCTAAATATATTCACAATATTTTGTGTTATAAATTATTATGCTGGCGGGTGGTTACTCGTTAAGTTATTGCTATATCTTTATCAGTTATCTGCAAGCACAGATGATATACTTATTTATAACACAAAGCTGATCTTGAAGAGGGCAAAAATAGCTTGAGTGCGTTGTCAACGCTCACTTTCAACATTTTATCACCCTTGCGCTTCAGCAAAGCCTGTCTTACGTGTCTACCAACTATGAAATGCAAAGTAACCGCCACTGAGTACTCTTAGTACACTTTACGCATAATATGCCTGGGGCTGGGTTACGCCTCGTTCCTATTTATGTACAAAACACCGATATCCAGATAGCAAGTACCCTCGTTACTTAGCTACTATCACACACACTGACTGAACTTGCTGCTATCGCATTGTTGCTTTGTCAGAGAGGTTTTACAACTAGTATCATAGCTATTTTGTGAGTATTGCTTCATTTTTATACAGGGTTTTTGGTAACACTAGGCTTTTCTTACAATATTTATTGAATCGTTTTCCACCTTGATATTTTGCCGTCTTTGAGGGAGATAAGAACTAAGGATTCAGTCGAATCTGAAATAAGTTATATTACTGATTGTGTTAGCAAATGAAATAAAATAAAAATTCATAACTTATGTTCTTGCTAAATATTTATTTATGTAGTACCCAATTGAAAGTGTATATATTGAAGGATCCTCCCGGCCATGCCGAAGTCACTCATTACACAGGTAAAAGTTTGGCATGTCTCCATTTCGAAACGGCTTCATATTTGTTTTGAAATTAAGACTAGAAACTGGACCTTAATGTCTAAACTCTACTTTGAGACTGCACTTCCATATGGCGCGATAAAGTCACTTAATAATATGTTAAATATGTGTTTGTATGCAAAGTTATTTGAGGTCATTGAACGAAGCGGACAAGTAGACAGATTCAAATATGGTTTGTGGACATGCTCGCACTTTGATGTAATCGATTCGTTTGATTAACGTTGAATTGTTGGGGGCAAAACAAGTAAACCCAACAAAACCATGTTAATGGGTTTCCAAAAAAGAACGACAAAATACGAGAGATCGTGTAAAAGTTTGGCATTTTGCCCTAAAAGTTTATGCTATTTTACAAATATACAATATATGCATATATAGATGTATATCGCTTATGATTTGATTTGACTTGTTGATTGCCTACGAGCTAATAATACCTTAGGTTTGAACTAAGATTTCCATATCGTATGTACGTTAGTATATGTGTATAAGTATATCTATATATAAGTTATGTATACAATTGTATAATATTGCAATTTCCAAATGTTCAGTTTCAATATGATGTTTTTTTTTTTGTATGGGCTAGGGATCTGGGCGTTTAATGGGCTGAAAGTCGTGGAGTGGGTGCACCCATCTATAGATTACATTACAAAATTGCTTGTCTTCACTTGGTTAATAATAATATTACAATTTCTTTTGTCATTTCAAGGGGGTTTTTCGTCGTCCACAGCGACGTCTCAATTACAAATTTGATCCCTATACTAATACTACTTTCTACAAATATATGTGTAATTATATGTTACGAGAGAGATTTTTCTTTACTTTCGTGTGGGTGTTTGTTGACCCAGATTCAAATTCTGTTTGAATTCACAATACATAATCCGCTTTGAGTTTTGTATTATTGCAAAATAAGATATTTTCTCTACTATTTTGTGTTTTGTGCATCAGCGCCATATTGAATGATTAAATATATGTTCTCTCACCTATTTCAAAGGGCAAACAGGGAAAAGTATTTTTCTTAAAATTGAGACGACCTCTCACTTATATGACAACGATCTTACATTGGTATTCTGCTGTAACCATTTCTTAAAATTGTAAGCGAGATAAAATATAAATTCATTTGATTTCGTGGCTGAATGCTCCAAAAGCCTATTTAAAACATTTTACCGATCTTAAGAAAGGCCTCACAGCAAATAAATGGTGTCTTTCAATTCTTCTCTGATTTAATATTATTCCTATCTTTGTCTTGTACTCAAACATTCTGATTTTACTTAGTTCTTTAAGTATTTGAAGAAAACAAAACTTACAAAAAGTTAGTTCTTCATATCCTCATCAAAGTAAATGTTCATACGCTTTAAAATTAAACTGAGAAATACACAATAAAACCAAAACATGAATTAAATACTCTTTTTCGTTTAAAATGTTTGTTTGGAAGTTTAAATTAAAGTAGTTCAATGGCATTTTAATATGTAATGCAAATAAACAAAGGTATTTTTTCGTTGAATCAATCATAGTACAAAATTAGTTTTCAATGCAGAATTCCTCAATTTCTTTCGAGTACAAGACAATAAGATAGCCTTGGTAGGATCATGGGTAAAATGAATCCCCTCTTGCTTGCCCTTTTGTCCATCGGCGTTTTTAAAACAGGCCTTTGGCGCCGGCCAACTTACGTCGCCGGAATCACATGAGTCATCATTTGAGCGTATTGTAAATGTTATCCTCTCCGGCCAACTCCACGGTGGTGATGTGGGCAGCGTGCCTCTCGCCCAACGGTTCCTCGCCCAGGTACACGGTATGGTAGCTGATTGCGCTGCTCTTCACCGCCGCCGTAGCTCCATTCACCTCTATCCGACTGACCGACTGTGGTCCATTGACCGAATACTTGAGCGATGCATAATCGCCATCATCGTCGGGCACATGAGTGAACTGAGTGGCGCCCGAAAAAGTGTCCGCTGTGTGTGAAGGACAGATTTCAGCGTATATATTCTCCTTTGTGTAGTCCACAACGGGAACTGGTCTGCTGGCAGCCTCCGATCGCAGGCAGTCCCCGCCGGAAGTTACCAGCGAATCGCGCACACTGGAGTAGGGCAAGTCATCTTCCACCAGCGATGCGGGTGATATCGCCAGTTGATTGAGTCCTCCTCCCAACAGAGAAACTCCACCGGCTGCCCTTCTTCCAGTGATCGGTTCCCTGGTCATTGCCTGTTGCTGCGCCTTTAGCAACATCAGATGACGCTTCTCCTTCTCAGCCTCGTGGAGTTGCAACTTTTGCGGCAAGGAGAAGAGAGGCAACTGGTGCAAACTGGACGATGACTTGCTGTACTGTCTGGTCTTCACGTGAAACTCGTTGTAGAGCTTCTCCGTGATGAAGGACTGCGGAGGTGGGGTCTGATTCTCAACATCCTCCAGTTCGGTACCCGCCTCGCTGATGGCGTCATTGTGATTGTGGCTGGCCAGCAAATCAGGTCGCGGCTTGCATTGACCATTGAGCAGCTCAATATCCTGCAAAGACATGGACTTCTGCATCATCGTGTCCAGAGACCTCGGCTCCATGTTAGTCAGCATCGTTGTCTCGGTGTCGGACGCTGCTGTGCTGTTCAGGGAGATAGCATCCTGCTCTGGCTGTTCGGGATTTGACCCAAAACGCTCCTGCAGAAGCTTGGACATGTCCGTATAGCGCTCCATGCTCATCCGCTTAGCCTGCTCATCGAGATCTAAGTCAGATTGATGTTTCTCTACTTGTGGCTGCTGTTGCTGCGGATGATGCTTCCCAAACCACTTCTTCTTGGTGGACTGGAACACTCGCATGCGCTCAGAGATGCGATTCAAACTGGATTCCGACTGAGCTGCAGCGGACGCTGCTGCTTCCTTGGCTTCCAGATTCTCCAGATCGGTTTTGCTGAGGAATATAATGGAATCCTCCTTCTCGTGCGCTGCTGCCATGGAGCTCTTCTCGCGTCTCAGGATCTTTGGAAAATGCAGTGGCTTCAGGATTCGTAGCCCCTCTCGATTCTTGCTTCCCGAGCGTTCCGAGCGCTGAATTAACTCAATCTCCACAAGCTTCAGGAATGGGTCGCAATTAAATTGGCAGAACTTGAGCATATTCTGCACATTCGTGTTAGCGAGCATCCGTTGTTCGGAGTCAAAGCCTAAATAACTCTTTACTAGCTGTATATCCCGACTGGGATAGAACTTCCTCAGCTGCAAGGGCGTCTGGGTATCCACGTCTTCAATGGAACAGCCTACGACCACGTCCTCCTTGCTCACTTGACTAATGCAGAGCTGCTCGGGAATGTCGGGTCCGCCTGGACCGGAGATATATCGCAGTGTTAGCGGTAACTGTTTGGCCGCCGTCACCAAAGCACTCAACCGATGCACACACTCCGGATTCAGTTTGCGCTGCGCATCGCCCAGTTTCTGAAGCAGTTGAGGAATTCCCGGCTCAATCTCGAAGAACTTGCCCTTGGTGGACAGTGGGACGTACAACACCTGCCTGTTTTCATTAAGGAGCTGGGCATACCGGTTCTTCTCCTTCTCTCGTCCCATGTACCCACTGCCATGGGACCTGGTCGCATTGCCGTTGCCATGCTGCGACATATTGACCTGATCCTGTTTGCCATCCTCGAAGACGGCCAACAGACGGAATACCTGCCCGCCCCTTGCCGTCGTTTTCACGTACTGTGGACGTCCCTTGTTTATGGGCAGGCATCCCTCGTGCGTTGGACTATTCGTACTGTTGGGTGAGGATTCCGTAAACGCCGGCATGTTGTCCACTGAGACAAACTTGTAAACCCGTTCCCGAACCAGCTGTATCAGAGATCCGTATTGTGTGGCCGTGGGGAGGCCCTTCTCGCTCAGCATTGAGAAGTAACCTGCGGGAAAAAAGAAAACATACAAATATTAAAATTGTCGGTGTATCTTATTGTGTATGTGAGTTTGACCTCTTAAACTGGTTTTATCAATACAAATTATGTAACCATTATACATTTCCTTAAATTATCGTTATTTTAATAACAAATAAGTCAAAAAGAAATTGTTAGCATAAGCTTTGGCATCTGAAGGTCATGAATGCATTAAAAGTACACAAAAATTATTGAAACTAATTTGGAAATCTCTTTGAACAAGACAAACATTTTGGTTCAGTCACAGAACAAATCTGTTTACTGTCTAAAATCTGAAAACCATTTTTCCGACAGCTGACAGCTTTGTACTGAATATACTACACAATTTGCAATCCAAAAATGAGTACAATAAAAATAAAACAAAAAACGTGACGTTCGACTGGCCATCTCATAGTATTGAGATATATACATATATATGATTTTCTTAAAATAAAGCAGTTTTTGTCGATTAAAACAAGCCCACAAACTCGATTCGAAGGCTTGTTAAAAATTAAACTTTAACGTACAGAGAGTTTCAGTTAGCCCAGGTGGATTGTACAGGAAAAAATGCAATGCAATTAAACATTACATGTATCGATGAGTCCATTAATCATTTCATTTAGTTCAATTCGCTCCACTGAGTTCAAATTATAATGATATAAAAGAAATTGATGATAAAGAGGGACTAATGCAATCAGCGTCGACAGCAATTGAATCAACACAAGAAAAATCCAATATGGTCGTGCAAATTGAATCACTCCAATTTGCCATCCATTTTTTCCGGACATTGCAAGCCTAATGAATAAAATGATAATACCCAGCGTCAGTGGGTCTATAAATGGGCAGATTGCATAATATTCGCACCCATTGGTTTACATTGCGCCTCGCCAAACGGCTGTGAAAAGTCACATGGCGTTGCGATTTGAAACAATGGCTGACCGCGGTACGGCGGAGCACCAGTGGGTGGATGGTGGTGCAGGTGGCATCGATGGGCCGGTGGTGTCGGTGGTGGGCCACCGAAGAAGTAACCGCTGCCTGACAGACTGGGCCAAAAACCACTGGCACTGGAACCCCCAATAGAGCTCACATTGCATAACGCCTGATGAGCAATAGTTGCGAATACTTTCCATTGTTGAACTGTGACTGTGTCACGCAAAAACATCAAAGTTCGGGTATTATATGTATGTATATGGATTGTGTACTTAGTAACCTCGCACTGGGAGATCAGAGTTCGCTCGGCTGACTCACTAGGCGAGTTGGTTGCGACTGGACCGTGTAATCAGGTACAACTAAGTATCTAAATGCATTCGTCATGAGAACACTAAATTGTGCCTTCAAAAGCCCCGTCTGGATTATGTAAATGGGCATGCGACAACAATCTACCGCATTCGTGCCGAATCAGTCACAGGTATTCCTCTTTTTTTTAATCATTCGGTTATGCCTTTAGCTACTGCCAATCGGCGCATCAATCGGAGGGTCATTGAAGTTAATTTACTGTGAGCGATAAATTAACTTCGCTCAATGAAATGACAACTTGTGTGAAGCCGCCCTCTACCAAGCCAACTTGTAATTACAATTAGCCGCAGCAGTTAGATTCTAGTTGTTCTGTGAAAAGGGTATCTCTAGCTTTAGCAATTGTATTATTCCGCTCAATAAATAACACGTAATTAAACCGCAACCGCACTAGAAACCTGAGTTAGCACACATGTGATAATACTATTTATCTTTTGTTACAACCAATTTAAAAAATTCAATCTCAATATGTTTGCTAATTGCGTTAAATGTATGTGTGGCAAACTGTAAGTTACTCTTGAATCTCTTTATAAACGCAGATATCAGTGAAATCATTCACTTCTGACACTCACCCGGAAACTCCTGTGGAATGAGCAGGGTCTTCTTGCGCTGCGATGCCTGAGTCTTGGCGTTGTGTCCATGGTAGATGTTGCGCTGTCGCACCAGCCTGTAGAGCAGAAAAAGCTCATCGTGGCCGGGTGGGGTGCCACCGTTGCTGCTGTGTCGACCGTTGTTGTTCTGGTGACCAGAACCAGAACCAGAACCCGAGCCCGAACTTAGACCAGGACCAGAGCCAGTTCCGTTTCCGGTGGCGCTGCCTCCGCTGGACGATGAATGGGTGCCGGTGCCGGTGTCAATGTTGCCACTGGAAATGTTTCCACCACCACTACCACCAGAACCAAACGGATTCGCTCCCGTCGAGGAGCTGCTCGATGCCGCCGTTGAGGAGCCATGCGATGAGCTGGACTGAAGAGTTTCGTTGGAGCTCTTGCTCGCATGCAGGATGCGAACGACGCGGGGCAGGGAATTCCGCTCAAGGAACTCAATGGCGGTCAGCGGTCCCTGGAAGATCCATTGTTTATTAGTTGGCATACAGTATAATTAAATATAAAGATTAAAGGGGCTAGATCATTTAAAATCGATTTGCGAGATTAGAAAACGTATTGACGTCATAATCACGTGTACACTAAATAAAACAAAATGTTTGTACATATGTAAATTGTAAACATTTTTTAAATCCTAAAGCTTTTAGCTATGTACGTTAATCTTATTACGTTATATTGTAATTGTAGAACATTCTTTGGGGATTTTAAAACTGGTTTCTATAGTTATTAGTTTTTTTGCCATCAGATTATGTTACTCTTTGAAATTTGTTTGGTGTAAATTGTACTCTATGCCTGGATGTGAGTATAATTCAATCTTACTTCGCTGCTGCCCTTGGAGGCCTTGCTGTCCCCAGTGGAGTAATCGCCGCTGCCATTAAGTGCGTCACAGTATCCGGAATGGACACCTCCCAGCAATCCTGAGCCCGCTCCCAAGCCGTAGGTGCTATTGTTGGCACTGCCGCGCACGCGTCGTGCCCTCCGCTGGTTCAGCTCGATCTCGTTGCGGCGGGCCAGGCGGGCGTTCTCGAAATCGGCCACCGAGAACATATTGGAGCTTGTGTCGTGGGAGTTGAAGCGCCGCAGTTTGGGCTTGCGCGCCCCGGCCGCCGAATGGTGGCCGTGATGGGCGCCAACGGCTGCTCCACCTGCAGCGGCAAGAGAATAAGGTAGGAGAACATTAGCATATAGAAAAGGAACGCCATGCAACGCGACGCGGAGGAGTCGTGAGTGAGTGAGGTAGCACATTGTGCATCGGTGAGGTAATCGCATAAATATAAATGCACATGTGAGTGTCTAATTGCCACCCCGTTGTCTGCAGTGGGAAAAACCCACACACCGTCGTATCAACTTCCACATCTACTGTGGCAGTGCTTCGTCTATAATGAGTGTATATTCCCCAAGCGAATTTCAGTTGGCGTGACGCAACTAAAAAAAATAAGGCAAGTGGTTCAAAACTGTTGCTAAGCGCAGCTAATTTTCAGTCAACGGTCAACGAGACGATGACACACAGTGGGCAAATATCGCCGCAAAGCACAACCGCAAAATTAACAAGAATTTTCGCAATAGACAGGAAGGAATGTCGAAAGATCTTGCACTGAATTTTAAGTGGGGAAAATCGAACTTTTATTGTTAAATACGGCCATTTTTAGACCACAATAAATTGAATGCACTGAATAGCTGCACCTGTACACAACATTCTTGCTCTCGACTTTGTAAAACATCTTTCAGCCAAAGTTTTGCATATGAATTGGAATTTACGAACTTACAGTTCAAGTTGTCGAGAAGAAAGCCTATCTCTGTCTAATAATAACATGCAAATACTAAAAGCGTTCAGTATGTACAAAACTCAGCCTGCTCTATTTGCACTCGATTCTAATCATAGCTTTTTTTGCGTTTTAACAGCGTTTACGCAAACAAGTTTGTCACTAACAAGACTTTATTTGCAATACAAATATATTGACTATCAGCTAATTGATACTAAATTTCGCCATTGACGTTTTCCAAGGGTCATTATAAATGTCTTCTTGGTTTATGAATAGCTAGAAAATTGTTTAAGAAATTCGTTGGAACATTTCAGATTTATTTTTCAGTAAAGAAATTTGTTATCAACTTAAGTCAAGTCAAGACTTTATGTTAAACTATCATTTTATTATCGATTAACTCACGTCAATTCGCATTTCCGGACTTTTGATTACTTTTTGAAAATTTGAAAACTTTTTGTTATATTCGAATGCACTTAATATCGAGAAAGAACGCTTGACAACTGCGGGGGTCTATGACTTGACAATTTTAAGGTCGAATTGTATTGTTGGCTCAAAGATCCAATCATATCGAATATCGAGGCACTAATAAAAGAGTCAACAACTGGAGGCGATTAACGGAACACAGCTACGCAGACAACGCAAATAGATAATACCTTCCTCATGGGCAACATATATTGTATTATATCGTTATCGGGCCAACATCCAAAAAAGCAATTGTCTGTCGCCCCAAACAATACCGCATGAAATCACTTAGCTATTTGTTTTTTTTCTCCCAATTTTTTGCTTCAGAAGTAGTTAAGTATATAGGCAAACTTCGAGCGATGCAATTAAAAAGAGATATCGCGATATTTGATTGCTTATTGTTTGAATGCGGCCCATGGTGCGATTTGGATCCGCTGATTGGTGGTCGGCGGCGCATTACTCACTTTAATTGCGCACATTTGGCTTAATTTTTTGCCCCACACACAGCACACATTTAATAAATGCAGGCGAGGGCAGAAATCACAGCATAACACCGGGAAGGGGCTAAAACGTTTTGTGAAATTGCTCTTATCTTTTGTGAAATATCAATTGCAGAGTACACTTTCTGTCAGCGAGCGAGAGAGTATGCACTATATATGTATGTACATAGAGGGAGAGAAAGCGATAGAGTGGGTGCAGGGGGTGTGAGATTGTCACGTTTCGTGTGAAATTATGCGAAGCGAGGCGCGCGCCTTGGCGAAAAGAAATCCCCATACAGACAACACAACCACCAGTTAGAAAAAAAAAATGTTTCTGGTATCGAGGCTCTTGTACCCTTCCAAAGCTTACCCTCACATATCTAAATCCTTCTGGTGATCCTACCCTTGTCAAACTTCAACGCAGATACAAATACATATCAATAATATGAAGTAATCTATACTCTAAGTCTTTAATGGTTAGCAATTTTGTAGAACCATTCATATTTTTGAATGGGTCGATTTTTAAATTTATGTGAATAATTATTAATCACTTCATCTCTTGATTGTTCAGAGTGTTGATTGTTCTTCCATCCAAGCTAGCTGGTCATAAAAATAGCACATGTTTCGGTTTTCACTTTTAAACGTTTCGCTCGAATACGATTTGCACAAAAATAAATATTTATACGATTTGGATTCGTTTATCCTAAAGCACTGTACAGTTGGTTATCAAATAGTCGAATTATCATATTTAGATGAAAATTCGGAAATCTTTAAATCATATTGCAATCTCTTGAAAATTCCTTTAGTATCCAACTACAATTGAGACTAATTATCAGAACTTTATTAATATTGAAATTATATATTCTCAACTCATTAGTTTAGTTATTGAAGTTACGTATCATAAAATCTTGTAACGGCGCACCTTGTACGGAATATGACGTAGAAAATACACTCATTTTAAATAATTGGGTACTTTACCCTGTTGTAAAAAATCAACTTCATTATTTTACAGTAGCAACTTGTTCGAAATAACCATACTATATTGTGTGAAAATAGTTAGTGCTTTACTACTGTTCAAGCGTAATAAAGTTTTTAATATTTTTCAAACAAATTTGATGAATTGAAAGAAAACTTGTTTTTTAATCTATCACGTGAAATTACAGTACCAAATTGTGAAAATAGGAGCTAAGTTTATAATTGTTTATCTTCTTTGAGTGTTTTTAAAACGGGAAAGAAATAACATTTTTGATATTAAGTGCAATCAAGTTAATTTTTTTAGTGCGTTCCATTCTTTTCACAGGATTATATCGTTTATATCAGGATGATCCTAATTACCATACCCTATAAGCAGGGCATCCTACAAAACAAAAGCAATGGCAACGTCATTGAGCAAACAATTACCCATTGCGCTCTCCCGCTCTCCTCTCTCTCGCTCGCTTGAAGCGCGTGCCTTGTCTACCTCCCCCTCTACCTCCCCCACCCAAACACCCACTTGCTCTCTTCGCGCTAAGCTTACCGTTACATGCAGCTGCTGCTGCAGCTGCGACGCTGTTGCTGGGTGCGCCCGCTGCTGCTGTTGAGACCCCGTTGCCGCCCACTGTGCCAGCGCCTGCTCCTCCCACTGTGGAGCTAGGATTTGTAGCTGTTGCTGTTGTTGTAGTTGTGCTCTTTGTGGCTGATGCAGTGGGTGTTGTTGCTGCTGCCGCTGATGTTGTGGTTGTTGCTGCTGCTGGTCCGCCGGGCATGTGCGGTCTACTGTTCATCAGCCAGTTGGCCAGGTGCCTCTGCCGCTCGAGCTCGATATTGGTGCGCTGCATTCCGAGTCCGGACAGCTTTAAGGTCTCGTTCATAATCGCAATCAATCAAACCGAAAAAAAAAATGAATGCGCCACTGCAACGAGCGGACGCGTCGCCGCCGTTGAAACGAATGTATTCCAACTCGGTACGTCTCGCGATGCCGATTTTCAGCGACCAACTGAGCAGACTTGTCCGACTGCAGCGGCGCCCTCCTCGATCGTTGCTGCTGCTGTAACGAGAGAGCCACAGAGAGAGGAAGAGAGAGAGTAAAGCGTGAGAGAAAACACGGAGAGCACAAAATGCGCGCACAGTGGGCAGCGTTTACATAAGTGGCAGCGCGGCCAGAGGAACTCGATTTCGCACAGTGGCCTCAATCTGACAGCTGCACACTCTCACAATTATCGGCTATCATATGAATAATATTTACCGAGCTGCTCGATTTTGTTTGGCAAATATTTTTACCTTATTATTAGACAACCTACTTATTTATTGAGTGTGGTTTGGGCACAGTAGGGTACCCAATATCAGGGAGCTGTATCACTCCCAAGTTCAGTTTATACATTTCTGAATCATTCCTATTTCACCAGCACTTGTATTATCGTGAAATTGTAGTTATAGAAAATTATTATACAAAATTCCATTCGATGGCAACTTGAAAAAATTTAGTGCTTCCTAGAAATGTAATTTTGAAATATATTTATTTTTATTGATTTTTAGAAATTTAATTTAATTTTAATTTTACGAATTTCTTAACACTTTCTTTTCTTTTTATATTTAAATACTTAAGCGACACATACTATTTTAATTGTTTTGCATTGTTGCCCTAATCAAAATATCAAGTAAATAAGCAGCTGTGCAAACCTTTTCGCAGAGTTCGTATACCCCGAATCCAAGTGTAACAACAACAATTGCAAAATGTGTAAAAAGATGTTGAGCGTTAGCAAAAAAAATCTCCTTCGTAATTGAGATGGTTGCTGTGTGCTGCTTGTGTGTGTGAGCTGGCTGTGCGTGTGTTGTGCATAAACTAAAATTGCGATGACGATGACGACGTTATCAGAAACTCAGCTCTCTCGCTCGCTCACTCGCCCGTTCGTTCGTTGGCTTGTTCAATGTCGCCGCACCTTTCAGCTGTCGACCACCCACCGCCCACTTCGCCACCCCCCGCCACCACCCACTCCTCGTGCAACAGCGTAGAAAGCAGAGCCAGTTCGTCTGGCGCTGGCAGCAAAAACAACAATCGCGCGTCATCTTCAAACGTTATGCGGCAGCGTAATCGGCGCGACTGTTAGAAGAGTGAGCGAGATGGATGGGAGAGGGAAAGAAATGGATATTGAGATGTGGTGCGTGTGGGGGAGTTTGACCGTCTTTCAACTAGCATGGGCACCAATAGATAATTTAATTTGGGGGTGCGTAGAATGATTTCTTTAAAGTTAATCAGTTGGTTTACAAGTCGTTCACAATTTAATAAATTGTTTAGGTCCACTTAGGTGAGTGTTTATTTAAACAAATATTAAACAAAGAAATTGTAATTGAAACAATGATTTGGTGGTACATAGATCGGTATTGATTTTTACAGGGAATCAATCCGAAAGCCCACAACTCCCCACTCATCACTCACTGTTCAGCACGTTTTTTGGTTTTTGT